GCGCCTTAGCCAGTTGAGCTATAGGCGCCGAGCCCCTGTGCCTTTTCCATGACAAGATTTTTATGAGTTTACTATGAAATTACAAAAAAGTAAGAACAGTGAGGTACTTTTCATAAAGGTGTTCCCTTTATTCTGGGATTTTTAGCCTTTATGCATTTTTGCTGTTATGCACTTTCCTATTTGAAATGATATAGTTTATTTTTTTGATAGTATTAAGGGTCTACAACCTTTTGTCAGTTTCCATGTTGCTTTTGGAGGCTCTTAAAAACAAAAGCTTGGGGACTGATGATCTCCAAAGAATTCTTTTTTCTTTTTTTGAGACAGAGTCTTAACTATGTCACCCTCAGTAGAGTGCTGTGGCATCACAGCTCACAGCAACCTCAAACTCTTGGGCTTAAGTGATTCTCTTGCCTTAGCCACCCAAGTATCTGGGACTACCGGCGCTTGCCACAACTCCTGGCTATTCTTTTGTTGCAGTTGTTGTTTAGCTGGCCCAGGCCAGGTTCAAATCCTCCGGCCCTGGTGTATGTGGCCAACGCCTACTCACTGAGCCACAGGTGCTGCCCTGTAGTCTGTCTTCTTGTTCTACTCTCCTCTTTTCTCTTCTGAACTTTGTGGAACACTGTTTTGTTTTTTTTCCTGTGATAGTGACCTTTAAATTGCCAAATCCTGTGGTCTTATAGGTTGTATATGTGTACTTACCCAGCACTTTGTGCTGTTGACCAGTTCTTCCTCAGAATTCTGTCCATTTGCTTCTGCTCTGTTTTCTCTTTGGTTCTCTTATTACTTTTCTTTGGGTTTCCTTTCCTTTGGTACCAGTTGTTGTTATTTGGGATTCTGGTTCTCTTTTTATGTTTTCACACTGTATATTTAATTTGAAACCAGATTTTTAGCTACCAATTCTAACCATCTTAATAATACTTAACATTTGTTTACTGTTTGCTGTTATTTCATTACTTCAGCATTTACTCATTTAATCCTCAGAATAACTTAGCGAAGTTGGTAAAATTGTTATCTTTTTTCTTACACTAAAATATTGAGACCCAGAGGTTAAGTAATCTACCTAAGATCGTGCAAGTAGGAGGCAGCAGAGCTGGGATTTAAATTTAGACGGGGTGTCCCTAGAGGCCATGTTCTTAATCAGTACTATTACATTTTTGGCTTCCAGTTGTTTAATTTCCTGTTTAACTTTTATACATCCAATTCAATACATTCATTTAGTTCATCTCAAGTACTTGCCTCTTCTCCCCTGATAAAATACATTTGTTCTTCTTTATTTCCTGTCGTCGTTAAATGTTACCACTATCCATCTTAACTATATCCTAGAGGCCAGAGGATCCTCTACCTGGGTATGTTCACTCTCTGAGTCTTATTCATACCAGCACAGTTACTTACTGAGTGAATATATTTGAGTGTAAGCTAAGCTTATGCCAGGTTCTGGGTGAATAATGATATGTGAAACAAAGACTTTGCCCCCATGTCGGGAGAGTAAATGGTGATGAAAAACCTGTATGTACTGGGCTTTCAGATAATAACTAATATTTATTAAGCACTTTCTGTTTATACCAGATGTTTTAGGTTCTTCAGTGTATATCTTAGTTCATTTAATTCTTATAAAGTGCTTAGATTTCTAGTATGGGGATTACCTAACCAGACAAAGAGCATTCCATTTGGAAGCTACACCATTAGCAGAAGGTCTAATGTAGGAATGAGCTTTATTGAAAGTGTGTAAGGCAGGCAGTGCCTGTGGCTCAGTGGGTAGGGTGCCGTCCCCATATACTGAGGGTGGTGAGTTTGAACCTGGCCCTGGCCAAACTGCCAAAAAAGAAAAAAAAAAAAAAAGCC